GGTGGCTCAGGATCTCTGGCTCCTGGGGACACAGCGTTGATGAGCCTCAGAACCAAAAGGGCCCTTAGATCCTGGGCTCTGGGATGCCTGGGACTCTGCCCATTCTGAGTTAGCTGTCCCCAAGCTGGGCCAGGACAAGGCTGGTGTGTGGGCAAGGAAGCTGATGGCCACTCACCCTTCCTCTTGTGCTGGTGGAGCTTGATGAGCATCACTGCTTCCTGGGGTCTCTACCCGCGCCCCTACCCGAATCTCAGCCCCTCTCTTTCTGTGTGTTTCTGTCCCTCCGAGACATCCTCCTCCCACCATGTCTGTCTCCCTCTGGTTGAGCATGGAGGCCTCTCCGCCTTCCTGTGGATGTGCCTCTCCAGCTCTCACTCTGCCCCCCTCCAGTATAGGTCTCTCGGTCTCTGCCTCCCGTGTATCTCCCTTGTGCATCTTTCTCTGTGGTTTCTCATCCTCTCTGTGTGTTTAGTTATGCCTTTGTCGCTGTCCGTGGGTAAAGAGGCCTTGGAGTCAGAGAACTCCGGGCTTGTATTTCAACTCTGTCTCATACTCGGGCAAGTCATTTTACCTTGGGGCCTATTTCTGCACTCTAAAATAAGGATATTAATTCTTAATCACATAGGGTTGTTTGGGGAAGGAAGGGGACCCCTTGGTGCCCCAGGCATGGAACAAGCACCGTCCTGGGGCACCACAGGAGCTCTGCAAAATTCTCTTTCTCTCCCCCTGGGGCGGGGCTGGGGGGTGGTGGCGGTGGCGGTTTCTTTTAATGTGGAGCTTTCTCTTCCTTTTTTACTGCCCGGGGTGGGGGGGGGGTAGTGTTCATGAGCGTAGACGGCCTCTCCGGGTGTGTCTCTCTTTTCTCCGAATATCTCGGCCCCTGGTCCTGGTTATAAGTGTTCACAGCTTTCCCGCTGGTGGGAGTCTCTGGCTCTGGTTGTGAGTCATCTCATTGTTCTGAGCTTGGGGCCTGCTTCCCCCTGGCCTGTGTGTATGGTGGCTCCGTTTGCTCGTGTGCTGGGTGGAAGTTTCATTGCTGTCAGCGTCCTCCCCCCTGTGGGTGGGTGTGTTTCCTTCTGCCTTGGAGTGTCACCTCCTATGTCCCGCCTGTGCTGGGCATATGAACAAACTTCTGTCCCTCTGCTGTGTATCTCGACTTCAGGGTTGGTGCGTGGAGGCCTTGAGGCCCATGGGCCTGACTCTCGTGTGTGTGTATGTATCAGTTCCTGTCATCTTGACACTGACGCTGGCTGCGAGGTTGTATTTGGCTGCAGCAGTTAGGCTGGGTCCCCTCCCTGGCTGTGTTCATACTGGCTCTTGGGCAGAAGGGCCTCTGTTTCCTGGGAGCAGTGGGAGAACATGTTGCTCTGGAGGTAACACCTGGTGGAGACCATCTTCCTGGGGCAGAGTCTGTTTCCTGGGCCTTCTCCTGGATCTGCCTGGGCGTTGCCCCCAGTCTGCAGAGGTGGCATGGGCAGAGCCCTGCTGCTCTGCACATCCTCCTTGTGGTTTTGAATTGTCAGGGCAGCTTCTCTAGCTGCTTCTGGCCTGAATTACACTCTGTCCCTGCAGCCTCAGTTGCGTGTCCTCTCTACCTTGAAGCTGGAGTGGCCTCACCATATCACTACTTTTTTGCCCTCCAGGCAGCCCTGTGTCTTAGAGGGTCTCCACTCCAGCCCATCCCATCACGAAGGTTACTGTGAGCCAGTGTCGGGTGGACTGCGGGCAGGGAGCTAGCAGTCCTGGGTTCTAGGGCCCCGACACTCCGCCATTCTCAGGGCTCTGGACCTCCCTATCCCCATCTGTAAATAGCAGGCGGTGCTGTCCCACAGGACTTTGCAGCGGTAGAAATGTTCTGTGCTTGCGCTTCTAATATGGTAGCCCTGCGTGGCTGTTGAGCTCTTGAAGTGCGGCTGCTATAATCAATGGACTAAATGTTTAAGTTGAATTAACTTACACTTAAATAACCACATGTGGCCTAAGGTTTCTTCCACTCCAAGGGCTTATGCCACTTGACTGAATGTGCGGAATTCCCCAAAGCTCCAGAGACCGAGCTTTGGGTAGCGGCAAGGTGGAGCCCCCAGCCCCCCGGGTAGCTGGCTTCACCTGACTTGCGCGGGAGGAGAAGGAAGGCCCATCTGGGCTCGGTACAGGCCCCAGGGGTGGGCGAGATGGAGGGCTGGGACCCAAGTGCAGAACATAGGCCCTTGCCACCTCGAATCCCCTATCAGCACCCCTGGGTCCGGCCAGGTCAGATGAAAGAGGAGGGGAGTCTTTCCTCGCTGTGCCAGGAGGTGAGGCCTGAGCCAGAGCAGGCGTGGTGGTTGGCAGCCCTGCCTGGCCAGGAAGCCAGCGGGTGCCCTGCCAGGGCCAACCTGCAGCCTTGGGTCCAGCGCCTCCTCTTCTCACGGACTGTGGCCCTTTCTTCGCTCACGATGGCCTCCTTGCTAGCCCCAGGGGTTGAGCATGTGGCACATCCCTCCTGAGCCTCCCAGCTGTGCTTCCCTGGACTCCGGGCCTGGGGCTCTGTGCCGAGCAGCTGGCAGGGAAGCCCACTGCCTCTCACCGGGCCCCAGCCCCTCTGGCCCCCGGGGGTCTGGCCCGTGAAGCACTTGGTCGATTGGGTTTTAGGCGTGACCCTTGGCGCGTCTGGAGCTACTGCGGCCGCAGTGACTCATTGGGGAAGGAGGGAAGGTGGGGCTGAGATGTGGGCGAGGGTGAGCTGTCTGTCTTGCTGCCCCATCGCTGCCTGCTGGCTCAGCACCAGGATGCTGGGCTGAAAAAAAGGGGCCCTGCTCAAGGAGGAAGAGGGGCGTGCCAGTGCAGTCGGTGGCTTCAGAGATCTGAGAAGCCCTCGGGTGGAAGCCCTTTCCTTCCCTGCCCTGCCTGGCTCCTTGTCTGCAGGGCTGGCTTCTCAGTGCTGGACGCCGGGGGAAGGCACCATTTAAGCTGCAGCTTGCTGTTTCACTATGGGTAGGGTCAGCAGGACTTCCGGTAGGAAGGAAAGAGGTGATTTACTCAGCTCACACCTGTGCCAACTGGCTGCCGCTGGCCTCCTAGCTGGCACCTGTGCTGACATGAATACCGCGTGAGCCAGTGCAGGTGGTTGGCGAACAGGGTGTCTGCGGCTGTCTTCACTGGTGTTGTGAACTGCCTGACACTGGAAGTCCTAAGTGCCTATGAATTTCCATGAATCCCGTCCTCAGAGGCAAACTCAGCACCTTCAAGACTCCATTTAGATTTCATTCCCCCAGAAGGCTCCCAAGCCTTCCGGAACATTCAGAGGCTAAATTGGTCACGCCCAGAGCACCTTGCTCATAACTTATATCCGGGACAGAAGCTAAGTCTTTTAACTCTCCATATCTGGCACGTGGAGTGCATTCAATAAATGTTTGGAGGATGCTGAGTGAAGTTAGGTGATAGCCTGATGCAGTGTATAGTTCAGTGCTGGGCTGAGCTGTGTCTGTCCCTTGCTAGTTTTCTTGGCAGTGTCCTGTACAATGTTGGACATACAGGAGACAATCAGTATGCATGTATTTATTGATTGGTTGGCTAATTTCTGGGTGTCAGCAGATTTAGGGTCGAGCTTTGGGCGAGGTTCTCCACGATTTATAGCACCCCCCGCACGGTTTCACAGGTGTTCTTCTGGGTTTCTGGAGGCTGGAGGCCTGCCTGGTGTTTTCCCCGGCGCCTCTGCAGCCGACAGTTCATCCCGTGGCTGGAGGGTGTCTTTGCTCCCTCAGTGCCCGCACCTACGGGGGCCTGGTTTCAGGGCCCAGCAGGTGCAGCCAGATGGGCCCTGACTCACCACGTCCTTGAGGCAGCACAGCTGGACTGCAGCCTCTTGGGCTTGGGACGGTGCTGGGGGGCCTGGGGCTTCCATTGTTTGGCCTCTGCCTGTGGCAGGGCTCCTGGAGCTCCCAGCTGGCGAGCGTCCCCCTGGTTTTGAGGCCGAGGTTAGGGTGACCCGGAGTCACTCCCCGTCAGCCACTGGGGGAGGGAGGGCACCACCAGCCCTGCTTGCAGGTTGCCAGTGGCCCCCAGTGCCGGAGAGTCTCAGGAGGGGTCTCGCACAGGTTAGAGCTGCAGGCCTGATACGGCATTGGAGGAAGAGTTACAGGCTCAGAGCCCGATCATAGATGCTCTCTCACGGTGCACCGCCGGCCAGCTGGCCTCTCCGAATCTCGGTTTCCCCACCTGCACTATGGGGGCTGAAGCTGTTACAAAGGACCTAATGAGAATGGGGTTGTTGGGAGGCTCCGATGGGCCAGAGCTTTTCTCACATGCTTTCTCTCGCTCCTTCAGTCCTCATGGGAATTCTTTATTGTCTCCATTTTCTCAGATGAGGAAATGGAGGTTCAGAGAAGTTAAGTGACTTGGCCCAGGTCACACAGCCGGGAGGATGCAGAGCCAGGATTTGAATCTGAGTCTGGCCTCTTCCAAACCCCCTTGCTGTGATCCCAGGCTGGAGAGTATTGTGTGAATGGAGCTGATGACAGTAGCGGGGTTGGGGGTTTGATTTGGCCCGGGGGGCAAAACATCCAGCCCTCTCTAGCACAGCAGCTGGTCGGGGTTTCGACAAGCCGAGTGCTGAGTGTGAGCCCCATTGTGATGCTCTCCCCAGGCTGTGCGACCGAGATTCCCACGAGAGAGACACTCCGAGGAGAGGAGAGAAGAGAAGGAGGGGCGGGCTCCCGGCAAAGCATCGGCTCCTGAACCAAGTCCTGCGAAGGTCTGTAGGCGGGAGGGTAACGAGGGCAGTGCAGGTGAGAGGACGGGGAGGGTAGGGACCCGGGGAGGCACGTGCTATCGGGAGGCAGGGCCGGGGGGGGACAGGACGAGGGGCTGGTTGCTTCCGCTGTGGCTGTGTCCACCGTCCACATTGGGAGCCCGCCCATAGTGGAGGCAGGCACCTCGGAGACAGTGCCCCACGCCCAGGGGGATCCCTGGCTTCCCCATCCCCTCACGCCCCCACTGCCCCATTTCCTTACCTCATCCAGATGGAGAAGGAGGAAGAGACGACCCGGGAGCTGCTGCTGCCCAACTGGCAGGGCAGCGGCTCCCACGGACTGACCATCACCCAGAGGGACGACGGCGTCTTTGTGCAGGAGGTGATGCAGAACTCCCCTGCGGCCCGCACTGGGGTGGTCAAGGAGGGTGAGTCACCTCGGGGTGCGGGCTGCTGCTGGGGCGGGGAGGGGGAGGGTGCTGGAGGGAAAGGCAGGGGCAGCACAAGCGGGTGGGTGGTTGTGGAGGGCTGGGTCCCAGTGGCATCAGGATGGCCGGTACCTAAGCCCTGCCGTCCCCTGCCCGCTCTCTATCCCTGGTTCCCTCAGTCCTCGCGGGAGGTGGTCCTGAGGGCTGGTGGACGTGCCGTCCTCTGTTCCGACTCCACCACCCATGAGCTCTGCCACTTGGGGCAAATTAGTTGGCCTCTCTGCCTCAGTTTCCTCATCTCTACAATGGGTGTTACCACACCTGCACGTCAGTCCGAGGGCCCGGCACAGAGTGGTTGTGTGTTGTTTCCCCGAGACCCTGGGTGGTCTTACCCGCTTCCTGCTCCTCCCTGCTCAGGGGACCAGATTGTAGGTGCCACCATCTACTTTGACAACCTGCAGTCGGGAGAGGTGACCCAGCTGCTGAACACCATGGGGCACCACACCGTGGGCCTGAAGCTGCATCGCAAGGGGGACCGTTCCCCTGAGCCTGGCCAGACCTGGACCCACGAAGTCTTCAGCTCCCACAGCTCTGAGGTGGTTCTGGTGAGTGCCTGGCTGGCCGGCCGTGCCCTTAGCTCCCCCGACCACGCCGACGGGCTGGTCCCCCTTCCTGAGCCTCTGTCCGCCCGCTGGACCGCTTGTCCTTCCTGGCTTCTCTCCTGCTCTCACCCTCTGCCCTCTGTAGAGCCAGCCTGTTTCTCCTTTGCACGTGTGGCTTCCGCTAAAAGTCTTCTGTCAGTCTCTTCCAAGGGTCTCTGCCTGGGGTCCCACTCATTGGTCTGTTCCTTGGTGCCAGGAGGAAGTTGGCTGCTTTGCAAGCATCTTTGAAATGATTTCACAGGTGCCCAGTTCTGCCTCACAGACATCATTTTTCTACTTCCGGGGGGCCTGGACTCATCTGTGAGTCAGAGGCTGGGCAGCAGAGTGCCTGAGGGACAGTTCTCTGCTGCTTCTGATGGCTTGTTTATTTAACAAATAATGAGTCCTCAAAGTGGAAGTGTTAACCCCGGCACAACCAGGCTCAACAAATGCTTTCCGAAGGGTCCCTGGGAGGATTCCCCTCCAGATTAAATAAACAAGCCAGGCAGTTGAGAGGCAAGAGGTGAGAGCTGAAGGTCCAGTCAACACGGAGCTAGTCACCAGGAGGTGTCCATGAGACCTGCTGGGCTGATTCGAATCTAGAATTGATTGTAAATCCTCCTCCCAGACTCCGCTGTCCAGGAGTCTACCTGTCCCCACTCCCCCATGGCTTTTGCTTACCAGAGATTCCCCAAGTAATTTCTGTTTTCCTCCTGTGGTGTGGCTGTCAGCCCCTCTCTTCAGTCCCCTGTGCTGTGTCCCAGGAGGCTCCGGGGGCCTCCCTTATGGTCCCGGCTTCTTTGGGAAACAGGCAACCATGCTGTGGGCTGGGCTGCGGCCAGGCGGCTGTCACTCACACAGACTCTGCTGCAACCTGTGGGGGGGGGGGGGGGGGGGGGTTGTG